ACCGAACTGGCCGTCTCAGACTTGGTTTCCGTTACTGCTGTCTCTGCTAACGGACCATCCGAGCAGCCTGCCACAAGAAATCACGTTGACACAACCCGGCGGTTATACACCAACCAACCCGGAGCTGTACCAACTTCACGTGTGGAAACTATCCAGCAATTTAGAATTGCGCAAGGGTTTTCAAGCCAAGTGTCGCAAACAACGACGGCCGGGCTTAGGGATTCCTCAAATGGATTGTATCAATACCACTGGGAAAAATTTCGTAATTGGTGTCTTGCAGGGGATATACATCCACTCTATCCCTCTTTGCCCCAAGTAGCGGAGTTTTTTTCTTATTTGATCAACGAAAAAAAGTTGAAACCGGGGACAGTAGAAAACTATAAATCGGCGATCAACTCTGTACTCAAACTAAGCCTAGACAAAAACATTTCGGATGACCCGACAATCTCCGATCTGTTCAAGGGCTTTATTACACAGGCGGGCCCCATTGAGAGGTACAAAGCGCCTGCATGGAGCTTGTCAGTAGTCCTTGAAGCGCTACGACAATTCCCATACGAACCGAAGGAATTGGCGTCACTACAGGACTACTAGCACTCGCTTCAGGGAGGCGAGTTAGCGAAATACACGCTCTGTCATTTGAAGACAATTTTACGGTGTTTTATCCCGATAAAGCGATTTTAATGACATCAGTAAAATTCAGAGGAAAAAATCAGAAACTGCACGAGACGGCGACTCCGATCGTTATCCCGGCACTGAGCAATATTTCCAATGAAAAACAAGACAGAATTCTTTGTCCGGTACGTGCGCTAGCTTATTATAAGAAACGTACTTCCGGGGTCAGAAGGGGTCAAAGGTCGATGTTCGTTTGTTACCAAAAAGGTAAACAAAGCTCAGCGGCGTCGAAATTCACGTTAGCGAGATGGGTAAAAGAGACAGTTTACCACGCTTATAGTGATAAGTATTTGAGCACAGAGGCAGGCAAAGTCACTGCCAAGATGCATGACTTAAGAGGCATAGGTAATACACTGGCATTTGCTAGCGGAGCTTCTTTAGCCCAGGTGCTAGCAGCCGGGTCCTGGAAAACTAGCAACACTTTTCTCTCTTATTACCTGAAAGACCTAGCGGCCGAGTCACAGGGCCTACACTCGTTAGGCTACCTAGTGACAGGCCAAGTTGTAACGAAACAATAGGGCATGTAACTTTCCGCAACTGCAAGAATTATTCAGTTAGCGGGAGTTATACAGTTGGGGGGATGGAATTTTTTCAATTCCATAATCAGGTGGGGTAGTATTTATCTGCCAAGAGATATTCTCTGGTAATCTGTCCCATTTGTTTATGAAATTAAAATTTCATTAACCAAAGGGGTTAGTATGCAATACTCTGTAATAAACTTTTAAAACTAGCGCCGAAGGGCATATTAGTTTTTATGTTTATATAAGAGATTGCATACTTACCTTCCCACCCAACCACCCCGGATAAGGAGCTACGAATCAATATCCTGGTCGGAAAGATCTGGAAGTATGCA